GGTTTATTCTATTCATCTTTAGGTAGGTTTTAGTTTTCATTTGGCATCCTGAGTCTTTCTATATGTTGTGGCTTTTATGTAGTATAGTTGGAAATGCTATGCAAGCTTGTGTGCTTTGTTATATAGGCGAAGTTCTGAATATACTTTTTGTTCAAGATATGGGTTGTATGTGAATGTTTTAGATGTGTGAAAAAGTTGATGCGGAAGTAAATAGTTTATTAGAAATAATCTATACAGAAAAGTCCAAGATGCTTGAAAGGTAGGTTTGGGGTGGAATCAATGTTCCGACTGGTTGTCATGGTTTTTTCGGCTGATGTTCAAGGTGTTGATGGTGTACCAACTCTCGTGCTAACGTTCTATTGTTTCGGTTACCAACTATTAGTCTTGTATGAATGATTGGTGTTGATCGATATGTTTCATTCCAAAGTCGGTGTAGGTCTCGTTTGTATGTATCGAACCGTTGCTCATGAGTGTAATGAATTATGAGTTGGTTCTCCCATTTCGAACATTTTGTGGATTTGGTTTTGAGTACATCATTTTTTATTGATTCATGATCAGAAGTAGCTTTAGCGCTGTCGATTCTGTACACCAGTCTATGTTCTGGAATAGATGGAATGTTGAGCATTTCCTGTCGGATCGCTCTGAATTCATTTTCATCATGTATGAATGGTTGTATGTTTGAAGTTTTGGCATAAGAAGTGATGAAATTTTGGAATCTGCTGTAGATAAACCGTGGTGTATAGCTAGAAGTTATCGGATAAACCGGATTGTGAACATACAGAAATAGATCAAATTACTTGTTGTAAAGAAGCATTAGTTTGATTGTACGTCGTTCTTTTTGAAAAGTTGATAGTGTAGATGAATAGCGTACAGCACGCAAAAAGTGCTGTGTCAATGGTATTTCTGAAGGTATGATGAGGATGATCAGAATTAAATGGCACTGTGTTTGGTTCGGCTGCTTCTTTGTGATACACAGATGTTTTCAATGTACCATAATTATTTTTGAATAAGCACATCTAAGAATGATACATTCTTACCAATTTACCGAACTAATTTGATATTTGGATGGAAATCGTTGGCGTGACCTAACATTTCATTGATTTTGTTCAGTGGTTGATTCGAAGTAAAGAGGATATCATCGATATACCTACGAAAGATGAGTAGAGGACATTGAGACAATAGCGCTTTTCCTAAGATACTGAACGTACCTTCCATAGATTTCGTTTGTATTTAGTTGCTGTTGAACTACTATCAAAATTTTTATAAAAGGCAGCTGGAAGAAAGTTGTATAACTTTTGATTGAAAAGTTATTTTGAACTGCGGTTTTCACCATTCAGTAGAGGAGGGTCGGGGCAGATACCTATGTGGGAGAGTCGTCATTCAAAGTATTTTGTCAAGTAGATTTTCGCCGACGAAATTTAGCATGTATTAGCGAATCTTTTTTAGGACTTTGTTTAAATGATATTGGTACCCCGACAT